CCATCAAAAGACATCTACAAGTGATTCATGAGGAAAAATTTTTCTTTAAAGAAGTATAAACAATGCCAGTAGCAGCATTACTCTTTAACAGCCCACACTGGAGCGAACCCAAATACCATCAGCAGTAGAACGGATAAACTGTGGTATACTTACATATTGGAATAGTATACAACTGAGAGAACAATCAATGAATCTCACAAACAATGTTAATAAGCAAAAACAGCCAGCCACAAATATGTAAATATTATGTGATTCCATTTTTATAAAATATGAAAAAAGTTATATGCAAATTAAACTTATTTATGTCTTTTTAAAAAAGATTTTATTTATTTGAGAGAGAGAGAGCACAAGCAAAGGGAAGAGAAGAGGGAGAGGGAGAAGCAGGTTCTCCACTGAGCAGGGAGCCAGATGTGGGGCTCGATCCCATGAGCAGAGCCAAAGGCAGATGCTTAACTGACTAAGCCACCCAGTCACCCCAATAGAATCTCTTTAAAAAGAAATAATTCCAAGGTCAGAAATATCTTCCTATATAACTTGACTGAGATATAACCTTTTTGAGAAGGAATGTGTCTATTAAAAGCAAAGGAAATACAAAGAAGCAGAAGATAGTACTCAATTCAAACATTGTCCAGGAGAGAGTCTCAGCCAAAGGATTCTAAGAATTACACCCATGGCAAGGCTATCTCCATGTGAAAATGAATGAATCACACTATCTTCGCTTGATGCCATTCAACATTCAAATTAGAAAACTTCCTTTGTTCCAATTCCTTGCTCACCAAGCAATCTTCTGATTATAATTTGGCTTCCCACATGGGTTGTCTACAGAGAAACAATGAGATGGTCAGGCCAGCATGAGTATCTGGGCCTTCTGGCAGTTGTTTCTCGTTATTAAATTAATAAATTGACCCTCTCCCTATCAGTGTCTTGGAAGCCTGTTAGTTCAGTCAGCACTCCCTAGCTAATCAACTCTAGTAGACTGACAAGACTAAGTTTCTGAATTAGGAAAGAACAGGCTGGACACTGGCCAGCGGCAGGTTACTATAGTAAATGCTACCATGGAGGATTGGGTCCCAACGGTCAGATAGCCTTCCCCAAGAAACACTCCAAATTCAAAGCATTTTTTCGTTTGAACTTGTATAATAAGTGCACAGTTGCTATTCCAAGCATTAGGAATGTCTCTTCCACTTCATTTTAAATGGTGGTGTTCTCTAAGAGTTAAATAATGAAGCCATTAAAATATAAAAGAGAATTTAAGACATCAGAGATTGTGAAAAAATTTTAGGTGTGTATGGACTACTGAAGTCTGAAAACTACCTACTCTAAGAAATTATCCCATTAATGATTTTAACCTTGACACTTAATGGTAATACAATTCTGACAGGCAATGTTCTGACATTAGAATACACTGTGCTTACATGGAAATATTTTGGCCCCAAATAAACAATCCTTATATTTTAAAAAGTAATTTGTAACAAGTATGGTTAAATGTGGTAGAACATTAAGCTAATTTACCAGTTCTACCCCTAATCAAGTTCTTAACAGAATCCTGTTTACCTTCCAGTAGTTTCACTGCTCACACATTCTTCCTACTGTTTTTCAGGGCTGCCAAAGTATTTCTGTCATGACTTTCAAATTTGGCATTTTGAAAAGGTAATAGTGTCCTCCAAATATATTAAAAGTAATGTCTTGGTTGGTATAAACTTAAGAAAAATGTGGAAAATCCTCTACCTCTGTTTATATTCTTTACTAAAAATAACTGAGTTTTAAAAAGTCTTGAAAACAATTTGATGACCCAGAACTCTGTTGCTGCATTATAAATTCCTGACTAGGCAAAAATTAGAAGCTAACTATAGAAGTAGATCATTTTAAATTTGAGGCGGTGTCAAATTGAGATTTCTGGGATTTTTTTAGAGGACTTATTAAAAAGGAGAAAAAAAGAAGGAATCTTGTTTTGCTATTAGGGAAGAGCCAGATCTTAAAGGACACAAAGATATAGCAATTTTTAGTAACTTGTTCCTTCCACTTTATGGGGACTCAATTCCCAGAGTCAGAAAACCCTTAAAAAAAGCAGAGGCTGAGAAGAAAAACATTTAAAGTCTGTTAAATTCACGAATGTAAGATACTGGTTTAAAAAGCTTAAAATGGAATTGATACAATGTTTTTAAAAAGATTATTTTAAAACCTTGTCTACTGGGGCACCTGGGTACCTCACTCAGTTGAAAGACTGACTCTTGGATTCAGCTCAGGTCATGATGTCAGGGTCGTGAGATAGAGCCCTGTGTCAGGCTCCATGGTCAGCAGGAATCTGCTGGAGATTCTCTCTGTCCCTCTCCTTCTGCCCACCACCCCTACCCTACCCCTCTCTCTCTCTGAAATAAATTAAAAAACAAAAACCAAAAAACACAGAGGCACCTGGGTGGCTCAGTGGGTTAAAGCCTCCGCCTTCAGCTCAGGTCATGATCCCAGGGTCCTGGGATCGAGCCCCCCATCAGGCTCTCTGCTCAGCAGGGAGCCTGCTTCCCCTTCTCTCTGCCTGCCTCCCTGCCTACTTGTGACCTCTCTCCTGTCAAATAAACAAATAAAATCTTTTTAAAAAACACACACATAAAACACACACACACACAACCCATAAAAAAGACCAAAAAAAAAAAAAATCACCTTGCCTATTACTCATAACCATTGTGTTGGAAAGCACAGAGACTCAAGATTTTTGGCAGAGTAGAAATAAATACCACCAACACAAGTATCACGAAACATAAATCCAAGATCAAAACAATGACACTGGAAGCCATGATATAACCAACTAAAAAAATATTTACTCAGCAGATTGTTGCTGTTCTAGCTTTCACAGAGAATTACTTATGTGCAGAAAAGTTAGAATAAAAGGCAGTTCTTCTGAAAAAGTTTTAGAGGGCCCTTAAACATGTATAAAAACACTCTGTTCTATGTTGGCTCATCCTTTGACCACTAACACTGGAGAGGTATGTAGTTGTGTATGTGTGTGGGGTGGGGGAGACATATGTATCACAGTTGAATGAATAAGTGAAGCTCACAGAAGGAAGCAATGCCTAGCTCAATTAGCAAAGAAAGAGATATGCCTGGCTGTCATTCTTATTCAGAAGGCAGTTCTATGTTGAAATACAGCAAAATACAAGAACAAAAAATACCAACCACCAATCAACCAGCTGTGTGAATACCACAAAAGCAAGCATCAATCAGTCTGCTATCACAGACATAAGTTCTGTTCTTATTTAGGCAATGAAGAGGAATTCTTCATTTTCCAGTCCTGCTGGTAATACATGCAAGGGTGGAAGCCTCAAATTTAAAGCTAAAAGACTGGCAACTGAAGCCCTATTAAAATAAATCTACAAATTTATAAAAGATTCTTTCCAAATACTGAAAAAGGAAGCTGGCCAATAACCTAACAAAGATATGTCTCCTGTGTTTTTATATAAAGAACTACTAAGGTGTAGCACATCCAGAAATATAGTAACTTCTATGTGGCTACCTGCGGCCTATGCAGATATAGTCGGCTTCACCTCTCCTATTCTACACCTTGCTTTGGTTGTACTAGCGAGATTACACATTTCTCTGCTTGTGGTTGTAAGAATCTTCTTCCTCTACCTTTTTCCACTGAAAATTCTCCTTGAAAAAACAAAAATTCAAGAACAACCCAAGAAAGAAAACAGATGATTGATTAAATGCATTCAGGGCTCTGTCTGAACCCCATGAAAGAGGAACTGAACATTGCTAAGTGCCTATTACATATTAGACACTGTGTTAAGCACTTTTCTATATATTTCCTTCATTAGCCTTAAGTGCTATTTTTATGCTCACTAATGCCAAACATGAAAATGCTCAAATTTAAAAGGCAAGCTTTTAGAGGCAAAGTTTTCTAACCCACTTCATATTACATTGAAAAAAAGCACCACGAAGAAAAAAGTGAACAGTAAGTCCATCCCAGATTTCTGAGGCCAGCTTTTGATATATAAATACGGGTTCAGTGTAACAGTAAAGAACATTTCTTAAGACCACTAGGTTTCCTCAAAGGAGTTGAAGAACCAAATAGAGTCTCTAAATTCTGTCTTCTGATAAACTATTCAAAACGTCAACATTTAGAATAAGGCAAATAGAAACAATAAGTGAAAAATGAAAATGAAAAAGTATAGCTTAAAATTTAACTTCATTTAAATAGAATCTGATGTTCTGATCATGCAGCTTGGCCAACTACAATGTAATACTGGAGAAAAGCCAGACAGAAAAGTCAAGGCTTCAAAATTTAATATGCTCTCAAACGAAATTACAAGGCCTATCACAAGAAGTAACGTTCCCTACTTAGATTGGTCTTGAGACTTTCAATGGAACAGGGCAATGTCCCATTTATCTGGAATTGCTGGACGATCAGGAATCACTTTATAACACAGTGGGTTTTTCAAATAACTGAAGCTAATTAAAAGGTAAACAAACTATTTAAATTTTTTATTGCGGAAAACAAAAATATATATGCCTTTATACAACATTTCCTTACTGATTTAAGTTTGTTAGTATAGCCTTATTGTATAGGACTTATTGTACATCTGTTACCTGCCTTTTCTCCATTTTCCACCAGCTCTGTGAGCCACTGCAGCCTCTAAAAGCTCTTCCAAGAGCAAACGTATGGCTTTTGTACTGGACTATACACAGCTTTAAATGGTGCTATGACAGATACTCGTGTGCTTTTTTCCTCTACTCAGTTCAGAGTAAACAGTACTGTGCTCAAAAAGTCTGAACTGAGAAGACTGATCTTTGGTTATGTGTGAGGTTAACACTTTTTTTCACACTTTTGTGAAAACTACAACACCCAGTGGCTCACTCACATTCAGTATAACTTCTTATCAGGTTTGATCTATCAGTGAATCATTCTAAGCTATTAGAAAGCTTTCTGTCTTTCCCGCGTAGAATTAGAGCACCACCTTGTGTCAGAAACCCAAGGAAATGAGCAGACATCTGTTTTTAGATACCTTAGTTGTCCAAAGTTTTACTGTCCAGTCAAATGATGAAGTGACAAAAAGATGTGAGAAGTCCACTGCTCCAACAGCTGCATGACAATGGATACCAGTGATTGGTCCTTGATGTCCTTCAAACATCTCACTGATTCCAGCTTTGCTATTTCATAAAAGTGAAAATATTAGGGAACTCTCTTGGAAGTAGACTGCTTATAAATACATTTTATTAAGGATTATATATATCAGATTTTGACATAATTTCAACAAACCTAACTCTGCTCATAACACATCAGAGTAACTTATGTTGAGTGTTGCTCAATCCAGATTTGATAACACTACTAAAACAGTAAATACATTTTGAACTATAAACATGGTGTTGACAATACAACTCACAAGTCCAGTTATCTGAGGTGATGGAATAGAGAGAAAGGGAGGCTATCTGTAAGAGAAAAAATTTGGGCTACTAATTTTATATCAAAAGCTTTGACATGAAGGTGATCTGTATTTGAGATGAAATCTGGACACTACATTTTTTTTTTTTAAGGAAGCAATTGATGAGGTACAGCTAGACAATTTCAAAACAGATTGAACAGCAGGAGAAATACTAGTCAATTTAAAATGTGTACGTGACATTACTACAAAATTATCAGCAGGATGAACTAAAGCTCAAAGTCCAAATATATCAAAATGGAAAAACAACTGAAAATCTTATTTACAACTTTAAGGGTCAGTATGTGGCATGTGCATATTATATTTGTAACTGCATACATACAAAACCATAACATACCACAACCCTTAAGATCCAGAACATATCATGATCCAAAGTAACCTTTTATTTGAAACAGTATTTAAGTTTTAATTTTATATACCTGAACTCAAATACAATTTGTCAAAAAATAACGAGTGGCTCTATGACAAATCTCTACTTAAACAAGGGGCAATTTGTTTTAATGAGACTATTAAAGGAAGAAATTTAAATAATTGCAAATTCCAGTTTAGATTTACCTGCCATGGCGGCATGCTGTGTACACAGAACCTTCTTCACTTCCAACAACAAAGTTGTTGACATCTCCAACAGGGAAGGACATAGATGTCACAGCTACTGCCTTTGACTGTTTATGAACCAATTCCATGCTATCCTATGTAGAAAAAATTAAGGAAATTATTTTATAAAACTGCAACTTTTAATTTTCTTAGAAACAGTTCCAGTTTTAATTGGTTTATAAACAATTATTTTATTATAATACTTATACAAATTTACTTTGATTAAATGAAGTACGTTTGAAAATAAAGTATATCATGACAAAGTATACCTAACCGGTTAGGCTCATAGGCTGTTATCGTAATACTATTATAAACATTTATGAAAAAACATAAGCTTGGATTTACATGGACTTAAAAAATAAAAATTTTGTCTCAAAATTTCAGTTTTCCAAGTTTACCTGTGGATGGGAAAGCATATCCAGACTCCATGAACAAATTTTTCCATCAGTAGATATGCTAATCAGATTGTGAGCATTTTGTGTTCCAACAACATTTACACAATATACAGGATGCTAAAGAAAGAGATATTAAAAAAGTTTTCTGGGATTATTTTGCCAAAAAAATGGAACCACTTTTACACTATAATCACAAGTATTCTGTTTCACATCAAAACACTCTCATATCTTGATGGTATTTTTAATGTGAAGTTTGATGCCATTCTGTTGATTAATAAAAGCTTGTCTCAGAAGATAGATGAGTTTTTAATAAAACAGATTTCTAAAAAGACAACAATAAAAAAAGGTCTTCATTCTTGGTGGCCAACTGATGAAGAATTCATACATCAAAGGAAACACATTCTGAGACTACGCTGACAGACACTACTAAGTATTTAATGGTGAACCAGCACAGAAGTCTAATGGAAATAACCTCTTTACTACTTACTGTGTGTGCAGCAGCTGACAGCGGAGTTCTCTGCACCGGAGTCCTTTTATTGCTGCGGTTATCCCACAGGACAATTTGGCCTGAGTATGTACCACCAACAACCAGATTTGGATGAAATTTTGCAAATGTAGCAGACATCACAGCTGACTGTAAATAAGTAAGATTTTTATATTTAAGGTTCAAATGGAAGAAGCCTAATAAGTTATGAAAACAAATCTATACGCAAACATTTTCCCTTTTAGTGTAAGGTATTAGAGGTTATAAAAAGAAGTAAATTAATTTGTTTAAAATTTTCATTTTATTTCATAATATAAAAATACACCTTTAGAATAGTTTTTGCTTAAGTCAAATGTAATGTTTACATAAATGTATTTGAACCATTTATAAAGAAAAGTTAAAAAATTATTTCTTTTGATTACAGTATTAAATCAAAAGACAACTGGCTCTAACAGTAATGTGACAACAGAGTATAAGCTAGTTTTGATTCAGTTAAGCATTTTTCCCAGAATTATGAGAATCTTTTAATAAAAAGATTGTAACTTATGCAACTAGAAAAGGCTTGCAAATTCTAACCTTCCACTAAACTCACTTTAAAAATCTGCATCTGTTTCCTACTTCAAACGTACGTTTCTATTTAAAACCATCTAGTTCCAAAAAAATAAAAATAAATAAAAAAAATAAAACTATCTAGTTCCAACTCCTCAGGCCATGTATAAGTAATTCAGTGGGCCAACTGTCTAATTGTATATTCAGCATATAAGTTCATAAGAAACTCCCTGTAGAAAAGACACTTTACAAAAGATTCCTTTTATATAATCAATCATAATAACAGAAAATCACAAATGCAAAGGACTTTAGGTGTGATTAAACGTAAGAGATGTCAGAAAAGCCACAAAAGGCAGATCGTGTTGAACTGAAAAGTCTTCAGTTTTGTTAACATCTGTTTGCAAATATGAGGTGGTTTAGTAAATGCCAATCCAATGAAATCATTATGTTGACAAGAAAAGAAAAAAGGCACTTGTCTAAATCCATTAATGAATTCTTAAACTTAGGGAAGACGGTTAAAAGACCATCTTACCTGGCAGTGAAACACATATTCTGGGGTAGTTTTTTTGTATTTCATATTCCACACCAGGGCCACACCATCAGGTTCATGAGGAGCATCTTCATTGTTATTATAGGAAGCCACGAGTAGCTCTGGATACTGTTCTCACAAGAATCAAGTAGGGAAAAAATTGCTATGCATAAGAAATGTTTCACATTCTCAGTGACTCAACGGTCTTTGCCAGATTATTTGGAAATATAAATATTTAACATTTCCCCAAGCAATGTATCACGAGAAATGTATCACGAGAGTTATGATTACTGGGATGTAGTTACCGTAGTTAATTATTTAAAATGTTTTAACATTAAAACACACTGCAATTTTAACCAAAGGATATGGTGAGCAACTGAAATTAACGAACCTGGGTTGTGGCATAAATTCAATTTTGAGTTTAAATTAAAGGATGGTTCCAATCCTTTCTTCCAAATATATAAAATGAATACAATAACATTAGAACCATCATCCATTATTACTCTAAATGATATATACTGATTTAATTACAAAGTTTCCATAATAAGAGTGCCTATTAATTTTAATTAAAAAATGAGTAACCAATTTTGTTACAGTTTACCTGAGATGACCAATCCAAACAGCTAACAACACGATGCTTTGACCAACGTTCATCAAAAAATTGCCGATTTAATGACAGTTTAGCACCTGCTTGAATCTCTCTACAGAAAAAGACCAAATCCAAAAAAAGAATGATGTTATAACTTATCACTCTTGATTGGAAAGTAACTTAAGTAACTTAAAGTAACATTGCTGAAGCCATAATTTTAGCCATTAAACATTACCCTTCTTTGTCTTCCAAATCCCTTCCGCTGTAGTCAAAGAAGATATTAATCTGCTCAGAAAGCGCTCTCTCTACAATTCTTGTAGAATGGTCAAAGAAACTTAAAAATTCCTCCGAATGTAAGATTTGTTGCTTTTCTTCTTCAGTCAGCTCATGAGGGGGAGCTGGAAAACAAATATTTTCCTGAATTCAGTCTAATTTATGTCCGTCAAATCATGTCAACTCACTATCACAGTTTGGATTGATGAATGGCACATATTTTTTTCAACCAGTTTCACCTCTTTGATTTAGAGGATTCTACTCTACTTTAACACATAAATAATAAAAAAAATTTTAATAAGAATCAACAAAATTTTTGTAAGTTAATTCTTTAAGGTACCTTTACTATCATTTTCTTCATCTTTCTTTAAAGTTTTCTCTTCTTCAGGTTCAGTAGGGGGTTTAGGAGTCACTACGTCATCTTCTTCCTCTTCATCTGAAAAAAAAAAAACCCCAAAAACAGAAAAACACAAAAATTACTTTTATGAAAATAACCGAACTTTCAAGCAACAGTTCAGAAGGTGTACAACTAACTATACATAAATGCAAAAGTAAACCACGGGCAAGACAGAACAAGTAAGAATAATATCAATTTCATCAACACAATTTTAAAGAAATCAGTGGAACTTCTTGGTGTTTTACATACCTATGTGGTACCTCTAACAGTCATTCCAAATTTTGTAGCTACATAAACTGAAATAAGATATATAAGCAACTAGGACAAATTCCTCATGGAAATCTCTAAAAGCTTGCAAGCATTTATCATTCCAGACAGAACAACATGCAACTCCTGCATAGTTTTATGTAGCATGCTGACACATTAATGCTGTGGAATGAAGAAAATCAAATGTCTAAAATAGCCTACAGAGCTGGCTGCTTACTTGTGATCTGAAACCATCAGTGTCTAATGGGTCTTCATATGGCATAAAGACGGCTTACATTAACTCTCAGGTTGCTATTTGAGAGGCAGATTTTAAAGATAATAGCTATGAGACCACATTTTCTATTCTGTCATTTTAAATGCAAGTCTCATTATCTATTGTTGCATGATGTGACAATAAGCGCTTAAAATCATGTTTTCTTAACTTGGAACAAAAATATATATTGAGATAATATACAGTGTTTATAAGAAGACTTTTATTACTAAATCTCCTCTCCAAACCAAGAACTTAAACTCACTTACTTTAAAATGTTGTAGAACATACATCTCTGCATATCTTCTCTCTTACTATGTACTGAGACAGATTTTTATGAAGAAAATGCTTCTTTTTATTGCCTGAACAGATGTGTCATTTGTCTATAAGGGAATGGCAGCAGGCGTCTGCAGCAGAGTGCATCTTAAGTAATGAGGGCCTATTCAATAAGGGGACTTGTTATTTATAGTCATTTCCCCGACCCATGTTCAAAATTATCTAAAGCACACATACATGCTCCGTACACAAAAGAATGGTCAAGGATGGGAACCAGCTGCCAAGTCATGGTCCCAGCAGCCAGGCCAGCTGACTAGATAGCAACAACCAGATGGCACTGCTGGGATTGTGTCTTTCTGCTACAAGGTGGCAAAAGGATGGCACAACATTCTTCCGCTCGGCTGCTTCCAATCCCGTCTCTCCCCAATGGTGAGCCTGTGCAATTACCCACACTCCAGGAGGCCTACAGATAAGCCTTTACCCTGCAAACAAAATGAAGCTCGTAGGCCACACCAGCTGCCAAACCACACACATAGTGTTAGGTTTGGAGAGCTATGAAAATCTTTCTAAGTCTATAGTATTAGCAATAAAAATATAACTGTACCTGTAGGAAAGAAAGCTTTAAATGACACTGTATAATGCACACAATGATACAACCTCCAACTTAATCAAAATGATAATGACGTATGCCAATCCTACATTACTTGAAATTGAGCGATTTTTACGTTCTGACAAGTTTACAGAACTAGGATAAATGGCACGAATGATTTCAATATATGCTCATACTTTTGAACCAAATGGTGAAGGTTAAAATTTTTCCTTTCAAGGGCCTCAATCAGCCACAAAGGAAAACAGTAATCACTGTCTTTTCAGCCAGCCCAACCGCATTTGTCAGCCCTTTCTCCGTCAATGCAGCCAGAGCAATCAACCTGCCAAACATTCAGAATGGAAAAACAATCTGAAAATACAGGGTATAATGCACCTGCCAGTGAAAATGGCCATTTCAAGAAAAGCTAGTGATCTCAGTGACCCCACTGAGGAGGCGGTGGTGCAAAGGGGAAAGAACACGTAAAAGAATTCTTAGTGATCGCCACTCTCTTGCACATTGACACTTCCTTACAAAGCATGCCAATTACAGCTTTTGTGCTACTTAAAAAAACGAAAGCCTTTTTTTGGGGCAAAATAATCACACAGAGAAACAGAAAGACAGTACTCCTTTTAGATGAATTCTCATATACAACAGATTATTAATCTGAAAACAGTATAACTGGTGACAATTCTATACTGTGCTACTCAAACATGATGAAATTCTACCATAAAGTCACCTGTAGGTATAACGTAATAAAACAGTTTAATTACACTTAACTCAGAAGTTGACTTTTAGAATAATGATATATTTACTTTAATTAAATATTAAGTTTGTGTATATATATATATAATATATATATATGCATTATATATATATTATATATATTTCCATTTTCTGACTATCAGTTATCTTAACCAGTTTTGTTTACTAGCAGGGTTTATGGTATGTAAATCCTAAAATCAAGGAGAGGGATTTTGAGACACCCTGGACAGGTCATTCTTGAGCACTGTGAATTATAAATTACAGCCTCCTATCCACATTGTATTTTCCTCCCTCAACTTTGTTGCATTATACGGCTTCTAAGTACTATTTCCAATGACAGGTGTCAAATTCCTGTCATAATGCATATGGTCAGTACTTTAATGCTAAGTGACCTCATAATCTACATATTTAACAGAAAAGATCTTGTTTATAGACCATCTTTTCCTTATAAAATTTAAAATGTAGATGAAGTATGCAAGACAGTGATCTATATCTGCCTCTTACATGGCATTTGCTATGCCTATTTGCCCACATAGATCGGTTTAGTTGTGGCTGAATAAGGAGTTATCAACTATTTAGATACATGTTTTCAGGATTTTGTTTTAGAGTTAATGTACATACCTCTCTTTCTACATGGATGAAAAACTGATTTAAAAACTATGACAGGTCAAAAGATTAAGCTAAATAAAATTTCAAGGAACAAAAACCCAAATCATCTGCTCTTCTTAAAAACTACACAACACCGTATTTTTATTATGAAGTTGGTCTTAAACAATTATCATATATGTCAAATATTTGGTAAAAATGCCCATCAGTAACATCAGACCAGAGAATGTTTCTCCGAACAAATACACTTCTCTTTTTAAAAACTAATATGATAGTGGCTAAAGGACTACTGACACGATCAAAAATACAGTATTATAATTCTGAAGATTTTCTAAGCTAGTCCTTATTACATGATAAACTATAATGTATTTAAAACAGAAAAAGAATGCAACAGAGCAGGAAGACTGAAAAATGGGACTGCCATGTCACATCAATTTATTGATGAATATTCATTGCAATATGCTAAGTGGTTAACTCCATGCTTACTCTGACAGGGAATCTAAGGTTATAAACTGAGCAGTAAAGAATGCATAAAAGTAGCAGTTACTTTTAAAATGACAAATCTCTTGTCAATGAATGCTAAGACTAGGTTTAATGAGCCATTGAATTTTTACTTTGAGTTAACATCAAAATTGTGATGTATTTTGGTGAGATGGAAAGAAAAGCTGCTCTGTAAATTAAGCTGCACCTAGAAATAACACCAAAGAATGAAATTCCAGTTGTCGGAATAATCTGTTACAACGGAGTAGGTTAATCAAAGTTAAATCATCTGTAAAATGGGTGGCTTTTGTTAAGCTGAAGGAAGGAGTCTTTAGAACAAGTTTTCTCATCTGTATGTCACATTACACTTAAGAGACATCTAAGCTAAGAATAAGCCACAAAGTACATTTTGAATTATTTTAAAATGTTACAACACATTTAACAGGTAATATGCAACATCCTAGGAAATCCTCACTAAACACTGATACTTTTTAAATCTATCACTTATCATGATTAATTCTTACTATGAAGTGAAAAACAATCCCCTCACTGGTGCATTAATGTTCAGAAAATGTTTGTTGTCTATAAATGTATCATGTAGTTTCATCATATTGGTGTGCCATATTTTAAGATAGTTTTAATGTCCTATAGAGTATTCTTAATTTACAAAGTAGCCTTATTATTTATGGTATACCAAGTTCTAAAAATCAGAAAATTTATTGCATATAAAAATGATTTAATTTTCAAAAATTCAACTTGTGAATAACTTTACAAAATCATAAAATGAGATTAGAGAAAAATGATTTAATTATTAGTTTTTAAATTATAAGTTAGATATGAACAGTTTTCCTACAATATTTTCAAAATAATCCTTTCTTTTCTAGATCAAAATCATTTTGAATCGCTTCATTTCAATCCAGTTGTCCACAATTTCATCTATTTATACCTTACTCTTTAAAATCATATTATGAGGGGCGCCTGGGTGGCTCAGTGGGTTAAAGCCTCTGCCTTCGGCTCAGGTCATGATCCCAGGGTCCTGGGATCGAGCCCCACATCGAGCCCCACATCGGGCTCTCTGCTCTGCAGGGAGCCTGCTTCCTCCTCCTCTCTCTCTGCCTGCCTGCCTCTCTGCCTACTTGTGATCTCTGTCAAATAAATAAATAAAATCCTTAAAAAAATAATAAAATCATATAATGAGAACCTTAGGTTGGGACAAAGCTTCATGAATGGATCAATGGAATCCATTCCTTTTATATTTTTAAATATCTAGAATGATATGCAAGATCTCCTGGATTTCTTAATAATTTAAATCTTCACCAAGGGAAAATATACAGCAGTTTTTAAATTAGTAAATATTTTGAATACAGATCTAATGCTAACTTGGGGGAAAAATAAGAAAGAAGTGAAATTTTAATTATAACCGGGTCTTTTTTATACAAAGTTCAGATTTATCTAGACAGTATTGGCGTCACTGACATAGACCTTGATATCTGTGATCTCATAAGTACTACATTTTTTTCTGATGCCATAATTTCAGATATGCTGATTAACAGTTTTTAAGATTAAGAACACATGCTTTAATTTTCAATTATATTTATACTCTCAGAGATTCCCTGAGGATTGAAACTCATTTATTACATCTTATTTATTCCAGAATTTTTTAAAATTCAATTTTGGACAAGGGTAATTTTTACCGGGGGCCCCACAAATTTAGTCTACCTGGGAAGCATGGATTACAGACAGATGTTAAGATCATGCAATAACAAACTTAGGCTATTTACATATAATGCTTTTCTAATATATTATAAA